ATCAACCAAATTTATTAAGTTCTTTTCCCCAAATGATTCCTCCTGTCAGAAAACACTTGAACTACTTCACTTTTTACATCAGCTGTGAGAAATTCTTTTTCAATGCTTATTAAAGCCAGGTTGGTCAGTCGCTCCTGTGACATTCAAGACCTCAGATATATTTTTATTAATTTCAGTATTGAAAATGACCTTTCACGACTTGTGGCTGAAAATGTGATTGTAAGCAGTAATGTGTATGACACACACAGCATAGGAAAGACATCCCTCCCATACTGCAGCAAAGACTCCACAGCATCTTTAGGATCACTGGGAATTCTATTCCCTCCAGTTCGAAGGACCATCACAAAAATAATAATTTCATCATGTAACTGAATGGCTGCCACATTGTTGTTATAATAATTTGTGAAATCTGAACGTTCCTTTTTTAATTTCTCTCTTGTTCATATTCAATTACCATTGAATTCAAGTTCGGAAGAAATGAAAATCAGTCACCGAGCCCTTAACCCTTAAATGATCCAAACGTATATATACGTTTTTTCAACATCTGAAAGTACGTAAAAAAAATGTAGATCTTCTTTTTTGTTTTACATTTGAAAATGTGTAAAAAAAAACTTTTATCTACATTTTTTTTTTGTTACATTTGAAAATATGTAAAAAAAAGTAGATCTACTTTTGTAGCTACGAATTTGAACGTCGATCTGTTTGGACCGTTTAAGGGTTAAAAATCACTATCTTATTTCCCTCTCTAATTGGATGCTGCTCTCCCCCCCATATGGATGCCTGGGGCTGCTCCCCCTCCCCCCATCCCTCTGTATGCCACTGATCAAAGGTAAAAAATTTTTTTTTTAAATTGCTCAGAGATCGAGTCCCATACCCCTCATTATATGGTTCCAGTACCCCAGAAGCCGGGAACCGGGTAAATTACCCCAAATGGGGTAAAAATGAAAATTTCCAGGGTAATGAAGGCTCAATAAACATATAAATAAAATTACACAAAAATTTAGTATTTAATAAGCAAGGAAAATTCTGAAAGTTATATTTTTTAAACATATAATTTTTAGTCTAGTGGATAATTTTGCTGTACACAAATTTGTTTTGGGGTAATAGCCAAAAAAGTACATTGACCTCTGCAGTACCCCCAAGGGGTATAAGAACATAAGAACATAAGAATGTAGGAACACTGCAGAAGGCCTACTGGCCCATACGAGGCAGGTCCTTATCAAAACGATCTCTACCTAAAGCCACCCAAGAAATAACTCCCGTACCCAATGACACCAATCAAACCCAGCCCCTCCCACTCATATATTTGTCCAGTCTCTTCTTAAAGCTACACAAGGTCCTAGCCTCTATCACCCCACTAGGAAGACTGTTCCACGCATCTACAACTCTGTTAGAACATAAGAACATAAGAACATAAGAATGTAGGAACACTGCAGAAGGCCTACTGGCCCATACGAGGCAGGTCCTTATCAAAACGACATCTACCTAAAGCTACTCAAGAAATAACTCCCGTACCCCTTGACACCAATCAAACCCAGCCCCTCCCACTCCCACTTAACCTCAGTTAAGAACCCTTGCTCTGAAGGCATTGTTAGTGTTGGATAATGCACCAGGACACCATCCAGAATTTAACTTTGTTACAGGTAAATTCCTCCCACTGAACACCATTCCTCTGTCACAGTCTGTGGACCAGCAAGTGACTGTGGATTTCAAGAAAATTTATGCCTAGAAGATGATTACCAAGTGCTTTGCAGTGAGTTCAGGAGATGGAGCCACCAGTCTCAAGGAATTCTGGAAGACTTAAGTTTATTGTCTTAGATTGTGTGAGGCTCAGAGTGCATTCCTGGACTGAAGTTTCCACTTAGCGACTCAGTGTAACCTGGAAGATCTTGTGACCTTCAGTCACTTATGACTTTAAAGGATTTGATGCTGAGGAGGATATAAACCAGGATATTGTCTCTCTTGGTGAGGCAGTGGAGCTGGAAGTGAAGGATTTGATGCTGAGGAGGATATAAACCAGAATATTGTCACTCTTGGTGAGGCAGTGGAGCTGGAAGTGAAGGATTTGATGCTGAGGAGAATATAAACCAGAATATTGTCACTCTTGGTGAGGCAGTGGAGCTGGAAGTGAAGGATTTGATGCTGAGGAGGATATAAACCAGGATATTGTCTCTCTTGGTGAGGCAGTGGAGCTGGCACTGAAGGATTTGATGCTGAGGAGAATATAAACCAGGATATTGTCTCTCTTGGTGAGGCAGTGAAGGATTTGATGCTGAGGAGGATATAAACCAGGATATTGTCTCTCTTGGTGAGGCAGTGGAGCTGGAAGTGAAGGATTTGATGCTGAGGAGGATATAAACCAGGATATTGTCTCTCTTGGTGAGGCAGTGGAGCTGGCAGTGAAGGATTTGATGCTGAGGAGGATATAAACCAGGATATTGTCTCTCTTGGTGAGGCAGTGGAGCTGGAAGTGAAGGATTTGATGCTGAGGAGAATATAAACCAGAATATTGTCACTCTTGGTGAGGCAGTGGAGCTGGATTGGTGAGGCAGTGGAGCTGGAAGTGAAGGATTTGATGCTGAGGAGAATACAAACCAGGATATTGTCACTCTTGGTGAGGCAGTGGAGCTGGATTGGTGAGGCAGTGGAGCTGGAAGTGAAGGATTTGATGCTGAGGAGAATATAAACCAGGATATTGTCTCTCTTGGTGAGGCAGTGGAGCTGGAGGTTGATGAGGATCTGGAGTTAATTCAGTACCACAGACAAGTGTTGACAGTAGAGGAGCTTCAGGAATTAGTGGAGATGGATGAGAAGGAAAATGAGGAGGAAGAAGTGGAATAAGATGACTAAAGGATAACAGCTGTAGAAATTCAGCAGTTGTTGTTCATTGGGAAGGTGTGAAAAGAATCAGAAGACAGCATCCAAACATTGATAAAACTGAATTCACTTCCTGTGTCTTCAAAGATAATGTTTTATCTTATTTTAAAGGTCTTGCTAGAAACCGACAGAAACAAAGAACTCTTGAGAGAGAGAGAGAGGGAGAGGGAGAGAGGTGCAATAAAAGTTTCAGTTCCAGGGTCTTGGAACCAGTTACCATAAAACTGCATAATTTGAGGTTAGAGTTATGATAGTCTTGAGATACAATATGTTTTCTGGAATGGATTAAACTTTCAAATTCAACATTTTATTTGTTTTGTGTGATACACAGATTATGTAGTTTACATGTAATGAATTATTATTAGGCACGAATGAATATGTGGGGCAGTGGGCCTCCAGCAGCAACAGCTTGGTTGACCAGGCTGTTGCTGCTGGCCCATGGCTGGGCTCCGAAAGTGGTGAAACTCTCGAAACTCTTCAAAAGTATATCAAAGGTATACGAAAGAAAGCCACTAACATGCAGTGCATTTCTGGCAAACTAATACTAGTGCTTAACCCTTAAACGGTCCAAATAGATCGACGTTCAAATCTGTAGTGCTCCAAAAGTAGATTTATGTTTTTTTATATATTTTCAAATACGTATAACAAAAAAAACGTAGATAAAAGTTTTTTTACACATTTTCAAATGTAAAAAAAAAAAAAGATGTATATTTTTTTACATACTGTCAAATGTTAAAAAAATGTATACATATATACGTTTGAACCGTTTAAGGGTTAAAGTTTACTTAAGAATTAGACATAGACTGTTAAGTAGGATTTCTTAAATGAATAAAGAGAGAGAGCTAAATGAACAACAGTACAAATTTAAAAATCCAGTAATCCCTTCCCCTGTATCTGCAAGGGATACATTCCAAGACCTACCCTGGATACCCTAAACCATGGATAGTAGCAAACCCTATACGTATGTAAGTTGTTTTTCACTTACGTACATACCTGTGATAAGTCTAATTGATAAATTACACACAGTAATTCACGAATTACCACTTCTTCATTGATGAGAAGCACTTTACGGCTTCTCTTAGGCTTTGAAGAACTGCCACCATCATTACTTTTGGGTGTTCATGCCATTATTAAGCAAAATTAAAGGTTATTTTTGGGCCATTGGTAATCCCTGAGTAACTGTAACCACGAAAACTGACTCCGCAAATACAGGGGTTGTACCGTATTCATTATTATTTCACACTGATTCAATGATCTTCTGTTAAGTAGGATTTCTTAAGCAGTTAACCACTGTGGTGAATGGTTTGAAAAAACCGACAAGTTGAAGAATGAGACACTTATGCAACATATGGGAATCTTTATTCAGGAAACGTTTTGCCACACAGTGGCTTCATCAGTCCAATACAAAGTAGAAAGGCATAAGGAGAGGAGGAGTTTGAGGTAATCAGTCCCTCAGCCTGGAGTCTATTGAACACATCAACTCCAGGCTGAGGGACTGATTACCTCAAACTCCTCCTCTCCTTACGCCTTTCTATTTTGTATTGGACTGATGAAGCCACTGTGTGGCGGAACGTTTCCTGAATAAAGATTCCCATATGTTGCATAAGTGTCTCATTCTTCAGTTAACCACTGTCGTGTATGTGCTTTATAACTTGAGAAAGCACCGCATCTCCAAAAGGTAGCTGTTGAAAAGTCTTTTATGTACAGCCTCTCCTCACTTAATGATGGAATTCTGTTCCTAAGACCACATCAGTAAATGAATTCATCGCTAAACAAGGAGCATACTATAATGGTAGTGGGTTTGTCTCAACCATCTCTGATGTTGTTTTAATGTCACCTTTGCACCATTTTTAACATTACTGGTATATTTTTAAATGTTTATGCAGCAGTGTACTGTATATTGTAATAAATAGAATAGAGGAAATCAGCTCTAATATATGTACATTATTTAGGTATGCATACTGGTCAGAGAGCCCATCCAAGTTGTCAGTAAACGAATACGTCACTAAGTGAGGAGTGACTGTATTGTATATTTAAAATTCTTGTAATGCAAGAGTGATAACATTATAATGCTTGTTAAAAGTCAGTATAGTGGTTTACATGTAATGTATATTTTGTTGCAGGTGCATCAGAAAATTTGAGGATGGGTCAGAACTTGTGCTGTCCCAAAAAGGGGCCACAACCCCAAAACCACCATGGAGAGTTTGTCAACATAGGTAAGTAAGAATTAATATCCAGAATCAAGTTTTAATGCCACGTTTTCAGCTAAGGAACGTCGAGGAGTGACGTGAGTGCGATCTCCAGAACTGTCACGGCACTTTGTGTCTACGACCAACTCATTTAGAATTACTACCTGTCTATTGTTTGTTCATTTAAATAGCATGGCATGAAGTTGAGTGAATATAAACAAATTTGTATAGCTGATGAACCGTCCTGTATAATAATTTAATATTAATTGGAATATGTATCTGAAAGCTATTTTATTTTATTTTATTTTATTTTTTTGAAGTTTAGTACACTACTGTACCTGTATTCTACATCCAGTAGCATAATGTAAATATTTAAGTTATAGCTTTTATAGACTATGTAAGTAGTGCTCTTTAGTTTAATATTAAGGGTTCTCGTGTGAAAATTATTATTTAGTGTAGGTAGATTAGTGTGGTCTATGTCACTTCTTATATCAATTGAAATGTTCTTCAACGATTTATGTTTTCTTCACTGTACCATCGTCAGTAGAAAAAATAAATAATGAGAACAATTACGTGTAACGGAAGACTCTGAAAAATCGCAAGGTGCAGGATAGTGCAGAATTTGGAACCACTCGTAGTGGATACTTTGGAAATGATTCATTATTGTATTCTTTGAAAAAGAAGTGTCGTCATTGGTTGCTTTGAAAAACAGGCGGTATAAACAATAGACCTGAAAAATCCTGTGTGAAAACTCTGTGATTGTATTAGAGACGGTTCTGTCGTATATGTTGCAGGAAGCATAACTAAGGTAGGAAAGAATGAATGTGAAAAATAAGTGTAACAGGTACAGTAAATCAGGAAGAGAAACCAAGAAATGTAAGTAAATGGAAGCAGAGAACGAGGAAGTGTACTTAGTAAAATAATTTAAAAGTGTCACTAGGAAGCAAGTGAAAACCTCTTAGGTGAACATGACGTGACACTGTATATCTATACTGACACTGAAGAACATTCTTATTGAGAACATTCTATACTTTTAATCCTCACTCCAGAAATAATGTTACTGACACTTAAAGAAAATTGAAAATGAGTGGCTTCAGTATACCTATTTATTTTAATTAAAATTCTTAGAAATTTGAATTTACTGTATGTGAAACAACTGTGTTAATATTTATATTTTTTGTTTTTTTTTACCATTTATACCTTGATGTTTAAAATGTATCAGTGTGTGTTATGTCACACTTATTATGTAATCGTATATTAAAAAAAAAGGATAATTTTAATAATCAGATGGAAAATTTAGTGAAGGAACTACAAGCACCATAAAGGTACAATAAACAGTGCATTTGAAAACAATAGCTTAAAGCAGTTTAGACATGTTTTTGTGCGTTTGTTTCAAGTAATTGGGAAAGTGGTTTCTCAAAGATAATGAAGGAAAATATATTTTTACTCCATACACACTACTGTAACTTGAGTATTTAACAGACCTGTACCCTTCTCAGACAGCAGACCAATACCGATGCAGAACCTAACTCCTGACCTGCAGGCATCGCTCGTGTACCAAGAAGCCAATGGAAACTATAACTCGGCGGGCCTCAGACCTCATATGCCCAACACCACTGGCGTTCCCTACCATGTTGAAGGTTATTTGATGTTTGTTAGCTTGAGCTTAACAAAAGCTGTAACTGCTTCTGCTACGAGTGCGTGACACTCGGCAGGTATTTCTGGTAAAGGCTTGACTTTGATATTGGTGCATTTGCAAGTAAGCACAACATACATCCCTCTTCAAGCTATAGTGCTTCTCTGCTTCATATTTTGCAGAACTCTTAATATGTTCACAGGTAAAGCGGATGGCAACACCTCCATGACACCTCCCCATGGTGGTGGAGGCAACCCGCGGTATTATCCAGACCCATCGAGAGGCAGACCTGCTTATAACTCCCAACAACATGGAGTTGATGTTATCCGCTCAAATTCAGGACAAGGTGGGTTATTACAGTCACACGTTGGCTGAGAGACGAGTACAATATATAATATCAATACTAGGTAATGTTAGTACAAAGAGTTGTATACTGTATATGCACCATGACACTTCATGATCTACCTTGGCACGTATCATAGGCTGCATGAATAGCAATCAGTGCATCTTCTCTTTACCAAGTGAGGTAAACCACACTTCGATAGTTTTAAAACTAAGGAAAAAGTACATGTGGCATTTATTGCGGTTTTGGGAAGCCTTTTTTGTTCTTTCATAATAACAAACTACAATTCACACATTTTTCGCAGATGTTTGCCAGTGTTCTTGTACGTCTTTTGTACAGTATTTCTAGATTTGTACGAGTATTTTCTGTATTTGTACGAGTACTTTCTTTATCTTTTATTGCAAGTTTTTTAATGCAGTACTGTATATAATTTAGAAATCTACAAAAGTTAGATTCAATTTTCTATCTATGAGGCTAGTTTGTTGTGCACCCTGTATCCATCCTGTGGACGGTAGTGCAAGAGCATATGGATACACAGAAGGCCTAGAAACTAGGCCCCATAAGGGTTAACAGTAGTGTTCTTAACTTGTAGAACATTCAACATTTATAAATTGTTACTTTATTGATTGCAATTTTAGGACACTTGCTCAAACTTTCTGGTATCTTCTTTTCATTATTAAGACACCGTAATATCATACAGATATTGTACAGAAAGTTGCTCAGTTAACGTCATTGATAAGTTCTCGGAAACTGTGACTTTAAGCAAAATGACGTATAGCGAAACCAATTTTATCAAGAATAATTGATTTAAACACCAAGGGTGCACGTCACACCTTCAGCCATCAAGGAATAAAAGTTTGCAAAGCAAAAGCCGTAAGGAACATCATCTATCACCAGGCGAACCTGGAAACTCCACACACAGTGGCCCGAGCTGGGAATCCATTTTTGTTTCTCATCAACGTTATAAGGAAATGACGTTAAGTGAGTACTTACAGTACTGTCTATCTCCATATAAAGTGAACAGTCATATACAGGAGGACCCCGTTTTACAGTGTTTCACTTTCTAGCAGTAGCCTGGAACCTAACCCGCCGTATAAGTGGGGCCCTAATGTACGTACTGCTCAGGAAGCTGATTATAAGGATGACTAGAAACTATAAGAAATATATTTTGTAGAATTGTATTTTGGTGTGATGTAAAACCTGGAAATATTTCCTAGCAAAAAAAAAAAAAAGATGGTTTGAAGGTAAGTGAATGTGAGGTGAATGTATCCCATGGTGATGGTGAGTGAATGTGAAGTGATTATGTTCCATAGTGATGGTGATGAAGGTGAGTGAATGTGAGGTGATTATGTTCCATGGAGAATGATGCAAGTGGTTCACTGCTGACAGTAGTGAAGTGAAGACACATGTCTCGCAAAAAGCTATTATTGGACAGTTCAGTTAAATGTTGTTCCAATAATAACTTACTACGATATGTACATTTTTTTTTTTCAACAAGTCAGCCGTCTCCCACCGAGACAGGGTGACCCAAAAAGAAAGAAAAAATCCCCCCAAAAAAATACTTTCATCATTCAACACTTTCACCTCACTCACACATAATCACTGTTTTTGCAGAGGTGCCCAGAATACAGAAGTTTAGAAGTATATATGTATAAAAATACACAATATATCTCTCCAAACTGCCAATATCTCAAACCCCTCCTTTAGAGTGCAGGCATTGTACTTCCCATTTCCAGGACTCAAGTCTGGTTATATAAAATAACCGGTTTCCCTGAATCCCTTCACTAAATATTACCCTGCTCACACTCCAACAGCTCGTCAGGTCCCAAATACCATTCGTCTCCATTCACTCCTATCTAACATGCTCACGCACGCTTGCTGGAAGTCCAAACCCCTCGCCCACAACATCTCCTTTACCCCCTCTCTCCAATCTTTTCAAGGACGACCCCTACCCCGCCTTCCTTCCCCTACAGATTTATACGCTCTCCATGTCATTCTACTTTGATCCATTCTCTCTAAATGACCAAACCACCTCAACAAACCCTCTTCAGCCCTCTGACTAATACTTTTATTAACTCCACACCTCCTAATTTCCACACTCCGAATTTTCTGCATAATATTTACACCATACATTGCCCTTAGACAGGACATCTCCACTGCTTCCAACCACCTCCTCGCTGCAGCATTTACAACCCAAGCTTCACACCCATATAAGAGTGTTGGTACTACTATACTTTCATACATTCCCTTCTTTGCCTTCATAGATAACATTTTTTGCCTCCACATATACCTCAATGCACCACTCACCTTTTTTCCTTCATCAATTCTATGATTAACCTCATCCTTCATAAATCCACCCGCTGACACGTCAACTCCCAGATATCTGAAAACATTCACTTCATCCATACTCCTCCCCAATTTGATATCCAATTTTTCTTTATCTAAATCATTTGATACCCTCATCACCTTACTCTTTTCTATGTTCACTTTCAACTTTCTACCTTTACACACATTCCCAAACTCATCCACTAACCTTTGCAATTTTTCTTTAGAATCTCCCATAAGCACAGTATCATCAGCAAAAAGTAACTGTGTCACTTCCCATTTTGTATTAATTCCCCATAATTTAATCCCACCCCTCTCCCGAACACCCTAGCATTAACTTATTTTACAACGCCATCTATAAATATATTAAGCAACCATGGTGACATTACACATCCCTGTCTAAGACCTACTTTTATTGGGAAGTAGTCTCCCTCTCTTCTACACACCCTAACCTGAGCCTAACCATACCCTGGCCAGGATTGAACCCGCGGTCAGAGAGTCTCAAAACTCCAGCCCGTCGCGTTAGCCACTAGACCAGCTAGCTACAATAAGATTCGTCCAACTAGGTATATTTCTACACCATAGGAGTCATGTTGACGGCAGTGAAGGGACTTGAGCTAGAGTTCGTCACGGCCACGCTAGCTGGAGATTTGTCTGTAAAAACTTGCATTTGTGGTCACAGTGGTGCCTGTGCTAACCTTCCTATGGTGTAGAAATATATTTAGTTGGACGAATCTTATTGTGGTTAGCTGGTCTAGTGGCTAACGCGACGGGCTGGAGTTTTGAGACTCTATGACCGCGGGTTCAATCCCGGCCGGGGTATGGTTTGTTTGCAATCGTGTCATTACGATTTCGTGAGTCATGTTAACCTGAGCCTCACTATCCTCATAAAAACTCTTTACAGCATTTAGTAACTTACCACCCAGGGAGGTACGACCGTCCTGCCAAGTGAGTGTAAAACGAAAGCCTGTAATTGTTTTACGTGATGGTAGGATTGCTGGTATCCTTTTTTCTGTTTCATAAACATGCAAGATTTCAGGTACGTCTTGCTACTTCTACTTACACTTAGGTCACACTACACATACATGTACAAGTATATATATACACACCTCTCTGGGTTTTCTTCTACTTTCTTTCTAGTTCTTGCTCTTGTCTATTTCCTCTTGTCTCCATGGGGAAGTGGAACAGAATTCTTCCTCCGTAAGCCATGTTTGTTGTAAGAGGCGACTAAAATACCGGGAGCAAGGGGCTAGTAACCCCTTCTCCTGTATATACAGTGGACCCCCGGTTAACGATATTTTTTCATTCCAGAAGTATGTTCAGGTGCCAGTACTGACCGAATTTGTTCCCATAAGGAATATTGTGAAGTAGATTAGTCCATTTCAGACCCCAAAACATACACGTACAAATGCACTTACATAAATACACTTACATAATTGGTCGCATTGGGAGGTGATCGTTAAGCGGGGGTCCACTGTATTACTAAATTTAAAAGGGGAAACTTTCGTTTTTCCTTTTGGGCCACCCCACCTTAGTGGGATATGGCTGGTGCATTGAAAGAGAAAGAAGATATGTACTGTACATATATGTACATATATTCTTCAGTACATTTCTTATACTGTTATGAATTTCTACTGAATATCTCCTAATTTATAGTTTATAAGGTACACATGGCCTTTTGTTTTGGCCTTCATTTTAAATTTTTTAGTGCTCTTTCATATATGGGACAGCCCCGCTTATACAGCAGGTTGGGTTCCAGGCTACTGTAGGGCTCTGTTTATACAGAAGGTTGGGTTCCAGGCTATGTAGGTCCCTGCTTATACAGCAAGTTAGGTTCCAGACTACTGTGGGGCTCTGCTTATACAACAGGTTGGGTTCCAGGCTATGTAGGGCCTGCTAATGCAGCAAGTTAGGTTTCAGGCTACTGTAGGGCTCCACTTATACAGCAGGTTGGGTTCCAGGCTATGTAGGTCCCTGCTTATACAACAAGTTAGGTTCCAGGCTACCGTAGGGCTCTGCTTATACAGCAGGTTATGTTCTGGGCTACTGTAGGGCCTCATTTATACTGCAGGTTAGGTTCCGAGCTGCTGTAGGGCCTCGTTTATACTGTAGGTTAGGTTCTGGGCTACTGTAAGATAGTTCTGTGTACTGGCCACTCAAAGGGTTAAAAGGGTGAGCATTACTGTGAGTGCTTTGATGAGGAAAACTAGTTAAATTTCATAGCAAATGTCTACTGCACTTGGATGTGTTGATTGATAATGATGAGCAGTGATATCAACGTTCAGATTACTTTTATAAGACAGTACCTATACTCACCATTTGAAGGTTTGTAAATAGGGAAATTCAATTGTAATTCACTTCTAATACACAAATCTTAGATCAATCTTTAGTCAGTGTCTCAAGATGGTTCATGACCAACCGAAGTGCTGTCTATGGATTTCTCTCTTTTTTATGGGTTAGTTTTGGATTGTTCCGGTGAATGTTGCCTCTGTTTTTTCTGGGTGACTGTCTTGGAGGGAGACGTCTGATGTGTTATAAAATAAAGTGTTCACAGCAGAGCATTGTCCCAGTAAAAGGTTGATCTTCAACCAGTGTATAGAACCCCTATATCCATGGATTTGGTTTCTGTAGTTTCAGGCATCCGCGTTAGGTCTTGCAGTGTATCATCCGTGAATACG